AGTGAATTCGAATTCGCTGTGGATGATAACTTGCCTTCATTAACTTCTGGAATGTTTTGCCATTTCTTCTGACTAATTGCATTGCATGACAATTAACAAATAATCTGCGATTTGTAAAAAGGTATGTTAGGGTGAGAAACTAGTTTGATTTAAAAGTGCATTGCCTTAATTTTTGTCTTTTAAAATGTATTATGTTGACAGGATAATGAATTAATATGTACACATCAAATTTTATCCTCAATTCTTATCATTTCCAAAATGGATATATAATTGTTCCTTTACAACACCTCACTAGTTGCTATGTGGTATGTGATCTGTCTTCCTAAAGATTAAAATCTTTCTTCTTATACAGATTAGGAGTGTTCTTTGCAGTGCAATTGTGCATACTAGATCTATGACAAGAACAAAAGAAAAATTGTGGTAACCAGAAGGTAAAATATTAAATACAATATAAACACGGTGCTGTACATACAGAAAAATTTATCAAATCCTATAATTGTTCTCTTTTAGAAAATAAATGCCAAATATACACTTATTCAACTGAAAATGTCCCATTGCTCTTTGAAAGTAAATTCATAAAATGTTAAACACGGAATTAAAATGAATGATGAATCTTAGTCATAGCTTGTGGGGGACGACCCCACATCATTTAAGGTCATGACTTTAATGTAATATCAAGGTTTTTATTTTTTTTTCCTCCTTCCGCTTTTATTTTTTTTTTTCCTCCTTCAGCTTTTTGCCTGAAAGCTGTCTGGGAATTCAGCCAAAGAAAGAAGAGGGTTGCAAAAACTCTGGGGACTTAAAAGAAAAGTGGCTGGCATTAGCTTGGTCCTCACTTTAAACTAAAATTAAAACAATAGACAGACATGTACAGTAATCTCTCTTTTAAGGAAAGAATAGAATGGCTCTATAGTAGTGTCAAGTGGAACAATTTGGTTCGGGCCCAAGTTATGCAGCTGTTCCACAGGAAAATGGCAAAAGGCTTCAGTCCAAAGCAGGCAAATAAGGCATGATTGTTCATAAATAGTCACTGGGGCCCTCACATTTAGAACAAGGAAAACAACATTAGCATGCAGCAGGGCAGCCTACAACATGAGTCTCAATACAACTTGGGCCACACCATCATTTTATGATTTGCACAAAAGATAATGGTGTTATTTTGTCTGCTAACAATAAACTTAATAATGATTAATAACTTATTCTTCAAGAATCTGTATGTTGAACAAACATTTTGTTTTGAGAAACAATGAAGGTTTGGTCATGGATTAAAATATTATTTAAGTTAGCTAGAAGATGTAAAGAAATCATATCCATTATACATTTCTGACTTGCTCGTTAGAGGTGGATGAGGTAAATGGTTAACGGTGATAGAAATTAAATGTCTGGGGAACTGAGCCATAGTGCTGCTTCTCAGTGGTGCCAAAATAACAAAATGGGGAACCAGGTGCAATAGCTGCAATGTAATGGAGCGGAACTTTGGCAGTGATCACCAGAGTGAACAGGCAATTCTAACCTGCCTATTGGATACATGTGATATCACAGACTTCATTTTCCTCTCTTTTCTTTGATTCTATCTTAAAATATGAGCAGCCTCCCTACTATGCTTTTAAATTATATTTTAATTTTAAATTTCAGTTTTCAAAGTTTTCTTCATTCCTTTTTCCACTTTTTATTAATCATTTTCTGAAGTAGATAGCTTTCTCATTAGTGATTCTGTTCCTTCTCCACTACCTATAAACTCCTTGATTAATCCATTTCAATTTACCTTCTGTTCCATTTTCTCTAATGAGAGTATTTTCTTTATGATCAGTAAGACTTCCTTCTGAGAAAATCCAATGTTTTAAGTTTAGTCTTCCCTTCTTTTTTGACCTATCTGCCTCATGTGGCACTGTTGGAGATAGAAAATAAACTGCAGAGAGGCTACAAGGTAAATTGTTTTAAAAGAGGTTAATTTCATTCATTTATTGGAAATGATAGTGATTTTGAAAATGGAGGTGAGTTGATTTCAAGAAAATTAGGAAAAGCAAAAACATCAGTGGTCTAAAAGAAGTAGGGAATCAGTGAAGTTGACTGTAACTTTACTGTCAATCGCTTGGCAGCCTACATGTAAGCAAAATGAAAAGGAAAAAAATGGAAATGAAAATATAATACAAGGAAATATGTTAATTTACATTTCTCTTGGATTATAGCATATAGGTTATAACACTGGAATCTCTAAGGTTAAAGTTCAAAATATAACAACTGTTTTCAGCACTAATGGAGTGTATGGATTAATTGCTCAAAGACACTGTATTAGTTAAGGCTTTTTATATGGGAATATACTCATGCCAGAAATGGTCACTTGAGTAGAAATTTGCAAACGTTTACAAAGAGTATAAATAAAGAATAATTCATGATAAGTATGGCAACAGTGAAATATATGAGATGGGGCTGGGGATGTGGCTCAAGTGGTAGCACGCTCGCCTGGCATGCGTGGGGCGCTGGGTTCCATCCTCAGCACCACATAAAAATAAAATAAAGATGTTGTGTCCACCGAAAACTAAAAAATAAATATTAAAAAATTCTTTCTCTCTCTCTCTGTCTTTATATATATATATATATATATATATATATATATATACACTTATTAGTGTTATATATATATATATATATATAACTAATAAGTTCTTCACTATAAAGCATCCAGAGTTCCAATTTCAGTGCTGAAAATAATTGTGAGCCTCATCCTAGATTCTGGTTTGGCTGACTAGGTGGCAATTTAGTCTCAGCAGTTGAAGTAGTAGCAAATAATTGAAAGAGTATAAACTTTGGGCAAGACTTAACTAAGAGTAAGTCCTGGCTCAGCAATCTTAAATCTGCATGAATAAGGAAAATTTGAATAACACTTTCAAGACTTAGTTTTCACTTCTGTAAAATAGGAAGGTTTTCTATTTGCTTTTTCTGTTTTAAAAGTGAGACTAATCAGGATCATCTGAGAAAAGTCATATTTTCTATTTCTTAAGTAAGATATTTTATACTTCATATTCATCTGCAATTTAGAGGATTATTATATATCACAGTTTATTTCTAGCTAACTGAAACTCAAACCGAAAATATGGCATCTCTATTCAATTGTATCTGCAGTGAGTGGTATGGACTACTTGAAAATATAATTTCACAAACCTCATATTCCATCTATTCTCATAAATAAAATGATTTTGCTCTTGTTGGGAGTGGGTATGACATCAGAGAACAGAGAGAAAATTGGATTCTATTTGAACATGCAAGAACTTTTTCCTAAAAATCTCAGCTCATATAACTGCATGCATTGAATATACCAAAGTATACACATATGCACTTTTGGAGAAAACTAAAGAAAAATAAAAGAATCAAAACAAAATTGTGTGCTTTGTCTTTATCCTCCCATGTTCCTTCAGATCTCCAAATGAGAGTCCCTGTGATTGTCAGAAGAAACAGAAACAAAAGAAGAGAGTAGAGGAAAAAGTCATAGTTGGAAAATAACAGAAAGAATCAAGAGTTGAGATGGAAAGAACTGTTGAGACATAGGTTTTGTTTTGATAGTGAATATATAGAAACAGAGAAATTTGGGGGTTAATTATGTCTAAAGCTGACTGGAGTCCATTATGCTTTTTTTCCCTAAAGTACTGAATTTTTAGCCAAAAAATTCTTGTTGGAGCTGTAAAGCTGAAATGTACTAGTCACATATGAATAGCATCTTAAGCTTCTCAGAGGTTAGAATTATAAAAGTGAATTGAGTAGGCTATGCAGCCAAGTTACTATGAAAAAACAAATTTCCTTTTGAAGTATAAAATGACTTCCAATATATTTTAAAAGATAGAAAAATAATACATTAACCATAAATTGTTCCTAAAATAAATGTCTTTGTATCTCTGAGAAATAATTATTGAAGAAAAATAATATTAAGATATCAAATTTATGATAAAGAAGGCACTGATTCACTGAAAATGGTTAAAAAATAATGATATGCAAGAGGAGAAGTTAAAATATTAGGCTTCTACCTTATAATTTTTTATTTGTCCTTTTTCTATCTTACAATTTTTTAAGAAAAATTTCTCATATGATACCTACATTTAAATAAATTATATTATTGAAAGCAAATTTTTAATAATTTAACCTAATTTTCACAGAAGCTATCTCAAGTAGTTATATACAGAGTACAACTGAATTCCTTTTATTAAAATTTAAAGAGAATGTAAATCAATTGTAAACATTTTTAAAATCAAGCAAAAAGTTAAGCCTAGACTGTTATTACATTAGAACAGTCATAGTATTAAATGATTTATATTTAAAAAATTCATATTTAAGTATCATTTAAAACAATAGGGATCCTATTAGTTAGCTGTTTATAAACATTAACACCACAAAGTAAAGTTTAGAGTTGAGGTGACATTAGCATACATCTATTCTAATAATGAAATGATTTTATAACTGACAACATTGAGCTTCTAACCCTTTCAATTCACAATAACCAAGCTTATCTCATTCACAAATTATGTCTCATTGGGAGCTACAAAAGGAAAATGCATTTTAATTTTCTTATTTCAAAAATGATTTTCCATTTAAAACCTGAATGTATTTGCAGATGCTTCCATATTTTCTTTTTTGTTTGGGTGAACTAAGTTCAGCAATGTCTAACTTTTTATTTTTAATCTAATGATATAAAGAGTGACTGATTAAGTCTACAATCCTTTCAGGTTGAAATATCTTACTATAATAAAAAAATAAAGAGAGAGAAAGAGAAGAGGGGCGGGGGAGGGGATCACAGCTGGAAACCTTCCCAGAAACTTCACTAGATGACAAAGTAAAAACCAATCTTCTACAGACACTTAATGAAGACATGGTTCAGGGGGTTTTCTGTTCTAGAGATCACTTTGCCCACTAAGAAAAGATAAACACAGTGGATTTCTACAGTTAAACCCTGCAATCAAAGGAGGATAAAAGAAAAAGTGAAAAACTTTATTGCTCATTAAATCACTTACAGTGGTTTTCCTTTGGATTCACAAGTCAAAATTAAAGGCTGTCCTTCTTGTGGAAAAGGAGTAGATGGTATAATCTTAACTGATGGTGTATCTAGGAAGAATGAAATATTAAGGAAGATATTAAACACACATGACAAAGGATTTAATAACTGCATTATCTGCATGTTCAGCATTTATGATATTTCTTAAAATTGCACTTATAAGAGATTGCTTAGATTTGATGAAGTATAGTATGTAATTTTAAGAAGCTTGTTTCTTGTCAGCGCAAATCTAACAAAAATATCTGAATATCTTAAGAGCATCACTGAAATCTTAATTTAAAAGTGAGATTGCAAAAAGTGGTTCAGAGGAATATCAAGCATTTCATACAATTGTTTCTTCAACTATTTATAGATGGCTATGAATACTATTATTATGGACTGAATGCATTTATGTGCATTTGAATAACAACACTTTCATTGTTGCAGGAATACCAGGGACTCACAATAAAGAACCCCCAATGAACACAAGATGAACTACTTTCTCAGAAGCATTATGGAGAATCTCTTTGAAAACTCAGTAATGCAGCACTGAGCACATGCTGCTAGCTCTGAAGTACAGTTGGCAAATTAATTTAAAAAGTATAATATTACTAAAAGTTAACAATTTGTTTTATATGCTACAACAAAATTTTTAGAAAATTATTTCTCCTTAAGAATAAAATCATCCCAGTGGAAGAAATCAAGAATACCCCAAAATATTTAAGATATATATATATATATATATATATATATATGAAAATGTTTTATTTATACAATAAAAATGTAAATGGAAAATACAATTTAAAAAACACAGACAATGGAAACACATTTCTTTCTTTCTTTCTTTCTTTCTTTCTTTTTTTTTTTCAGTGCTGAGTGTTGAACTCAGTTCCCTACACATGCTAGGCAAGTGCTACCACTGAGTTACTGCCCCAGCCCACACACTTCACACTCATTTCTTTATAGTATTTTGTTGGTTCTGGCATTGTTTAACCAATAGTCAATATGAAATTGCTTTCCTGTCTTCTTTCCATATTGTGTATCCATACTGTGTACATTGAACAAAATAGACTATGACTGCTCCTAATAATCACAATTATTCTCACTGTGTCCTTAGTTTTAATGAAAGAATAGAATGGAGCTAGCATTATATTCACTCTCAGACTTTTAAACTCATGAAATAAGTATCAATTGTGTAATTTTCAGAAATGTCGTATATAAAACAAGCTACAATCTTGTGGTTGAACTTATGTCATTTTTGAAATTATTTGTGCTTCATATGCATTCTTAATCTTTTAAGGAACAAAAATCTCATTTAAAGTACTCAAAAATCTTATCCTGGTTACAAAAAATACCATATATATATTATTATAAATAATTGTGATATATGACAATCTCCAGAGAAAAAATAATAGAAGAAATATGACATATTTCTCCACCAAGTATAAGACAATACACACGTTTTTCTGTCTTTGGATTTGCTATAGTTTAGATCTAAAATGTTCCCCAAAGGTTCATGTATTAAAGACATGCTTGCTAGCATGTGGCACTATTGGAAGGCTGTGGAACCTTTACAAGGTAGAGCATAGGCAATGACCTAACTCCTTTCCACTATGTGTGCCCTTGCAGGCGATCTGTGGAATATGGTCCTTTCTTGCCTTTCTCTTTGCTTCCTACCTACCAAGAGTTAAATAAGCTTCCTCTATTATGTGGTCTCAACATGTACTCCCACCATTATAAACTGTGACACTCCAGGCCCAAAGCAACAGAGCAAAACAAGCAAGTACTGAAATTTCTAAACCTATGAGCCAAAATAAACATTTTCCTATATCAAATTCATTTTCTGAGGCATTCTGCTACAATAACACCAAGTTGGATATCTTGGGTCTGGAATGCAAGCATTGGGTTTTCCTTGGCTCTGAGCCTACACACCTTTGTACTGGGACTAAACCAACAAGTCTCGTTTCTGAGACCATCAGACTCAGGCTGGAACTACACCAATGGCTTGCTGGAGTCTCTAACTTGCTGACCCACTCTGCACAAATGGGGAATTGCCAGCTTCTATGATCCTATGAATAATACCTTTTAGTCTATCTATCTATCTATCTATCTATCTATCTATCTATCTATCTATCTATCTATGTATAAACTACTCGTTCTATTTCTCTGGAAAGCTCTGACTAATACACTGTGTTAACAAAGAGAATATGAAGCATGTGGAGAGGGTTTGTCATCTCAGTAGGCCCTGGAAAGTTATATAGGAAGGAAAGGAAATAAATAAGACAAATAAAGTCTATGTTATTAAGCAAATTATACTTTGGGCAACTTAAGTTCAATCTTGCTCTGAAACTCAGAGATGATGTAGGATATGCTTCGGTTATTTGACTTAATGGGCAAGGGACGGAGTATATATGGAATATTTACCAATGCTAATTAGAATTTGGTTGAGGATTGCTCCTGGGGTAAAGGAGAGAGGTGTTAGTTCCAGGGCACTGCTACCCTGCTCATAAGATAGGACTGGTACGTGCCAAAATGATATGTCAGGTTATCACCAGTTTCTGCTTCAGTAAGGTAAATTTAGAGAACTGTGATAAAGGATGAACACAGAATATGTACTGATTTTGCCTAACTCTGCCTGTTTAGTTTAAGTAGTTTATTAGAGGAGAGGATTTTTATAACAAATGATCTCTTGAAGTATGATTCAGCATTCCCTTTAGATTTACCATACAGAATTTCAATTATAAGCAAATGCCAAAGCAGATAATACACTAAGCAAGTATTTCTATAAAACTCACAAGAATAAACCAAATAACCTTCAAGTTAACAAAAACCAAGGAACATAATACAATACTCTTATTATTTGACTTCAAATTATTAAAAATATTGATTAGTTTTATTTTTCTAAGTGAATATGAAAACTGAAAAAGTCATTGAATGTAAACATGTTTTAAAAATGGAGATATAATCTTAAAGAAGTCTTTCTTGACTTTCTTTGACAGTTCTCCCCTTTACACAAAATCTCACACAAATACATACATACAGATGCATACACACACGTACACATACAATATTGTTATATATCTCTGGCTAATCTTTTTTTTATTATTCTACTTGGGTTTTTTTATATTTAGCCTTTAAAATTTTGAGATCAGGAAAAATATGATTCAGAATCTGTTCTCACATAACTTTCTTTCTGGTCTATCAGCCACACCTATATCTACCTATTAATCACTCACAGATTTAGACCCCAGAGAAATTCTTTTCTATGAGCTACACTACCTTATCTGCAGCAACTATTCAGCATGTCCACTTGGATATATCAAAGACATGGCACATTTGATATGCCTAAAATGAACTCAAAGCCCCCAGCCTTCCCTTTGTCATTTCTCTCCTCCAGCAATCATTAGTTTGATAAAATACCATCAGATGTCTCTTGTTCCTTTATCATTTCTATAACCAATTAGTCAACAAATTGTTTTCTATAATTTATCCATAAAATCCAGTTGATCTATCTCCTACATAATTTTCATATCCACACATTTTTTGTACCTCCAAAATCATTTTTTGGTCCAGTTTGCCAAAACAGTATTTGCCAAAATGGTATCCTTTGCAACAGTATTATGCCCATCTTAATCTTACAGTAAAACTAAACAAAACTGTCTTCTCGTAACAAGAATCTTACCACACAATTTTTTTTCTTTTCTTTTTACCTTTTTGTGTTTTGCACTACTGACAATTGAAACCTGAACTTTGTGCATGTTAGGCGAACATTTTACCATTGAGCTACATTCAAGCCCACATCAACATTTTTTTAAAAACCTCACATATTAATCTCTGCTGTCAGGATAAAAGGAAAAATTATTAAATTATTTAAGTCCTTCATGATCTGTGTCTTTCTTTAATTTCTTGTCCTTTAACTTTCTATTTCATCCTTTGAATTGCATGCAATTATGCTTTCTTCCAGATTCTTTAAAGAATGTTTCATCTTGACTTTATATAAAATGTCAGAAATGTTACATTTTGGGAGGATCTTAACTTTTACATATTTTTTAAATCTTAAATGGCATATGCTAAGGGTAATTATCAGTTACCCTCTAATTTTTTCAGATGCATCTGTTACATATTATTCATCCTTATGTATTTTTTTAAGTCATAGATGTAGCCTGTGTTTTGCATAGTGCTTTATACTAAGTTTATGCTTAGTAAATAATTACTAAATGTTTTAGACACCTTTTTGCTGCTGTGACTAAAAGAACTGACAAGAACAATTTTAGAGGAGGAAAAGTTTATATGGGGTTCACAGTTTCAGAGGTTCATAGACAGCTAGCTCCATTCCTTGGGGCTCCAGGTGAGACAACATCATGGCTGAAGAATGTGGAGGACAGAAGCAGCTCACATAATGATGAGAAAGAAAAGAGACTCTACTTGCCAAATACAATATATACCCAAAAGCACATCCCCAGGGAGCTACCTCCTCTAGTCATACCCTACCCGCCTTCAGTTACCACCCTGTTAATCCCCATCAGGGGATTAATTAATTGATTGGGTTAAGGGTCTCATAACCCATCATTTCACCTTGGAACATTTCACCACATCAGCTTTTGGGAGAAAACTCATATGTAAACCATAACACTAAATAAACAAAAGCAATAAAATTTCTGATGCATATTATCATAAATTTGGTACAAATTATAAAATATTTTTTAAAATCCTTAATCAAAATTTTGTTGGTGCCTGCTGCACAGATAACTGCTCTTAAATACTCATGTCACAAACCTTAGATTAACTTTCAATCTTAGCTCACATTTACATTAATTAAATGTATATTGCTAATTGTCTTCCTGTTACAAATTGTCTGCCTTAGATATCCTCAGATAATAATTTTACATGATTTAAATTGGGAATGTCTTTTTTAATATAAGCACTACATACATACACTATTTTTCTCTCATCATCTGGTCTTGGCAGGAGAAACACTCAATTTTGAACAGATTTATTGAAGTATTATGCCAAAATGCTAGATTTGATGACCATAAAATGTTAGTAATTCCTATTTATACATGTTCATAGC